TTCCTTTGCGAGTATGAGGCCGTTTTTTGCCAGAATGAGAACTTTCTCACTCTTAGGAAAAAGTCAGCTAATAAGCAAGTCATTCGTTCGTCCATACCGCTAGTTCCGCTTTCTCCTTCTCCTCCACATCAGCATGTCTTCTGGCCTCCTTTGTTCCTCTATTATCCGCCGTCAGTGTACTCGGGACCGACCCATTGGGAGATATCGTCGTCGCAGTTGTGTTTCGAGACTGAAATTACATTTTTCAGAACATCTGTCGGGAAATTCTCTCCAGATTTCTCACATCACTGGGAGGGATAACTTATCATTCCGTTAATGAAGGGCAGAGGAGGGCAGAGGACCGAAAGCGCAAGAATAGGGTAATATAGCAGTTCCGCGGTGAGTGGTGAAGGTGCCGAAGACTTGACTCCCTGGTCAAAGCTCGCCTATCTTGATTGTGCCAAGATTAGGGTCGGTGCCAGACCTCGCGACTTCGTGGATTCGCCAGCGGACCCTCGGAGTCGGAAAGTCCGACACCGATCGAATGGTGCCAAATTTGTATTCCTCACAAGAACCCCCGTATGGCAAATAAATTTTATGAACAATCTTATTCACTTAAAGACACTCAACACTATGGCCTGAGGGCGGAGCATTATGATGACGTCATTGGTGGACCAGGCCCCTCAGCGCGCTACTTCCCAACGCCCTTACGCCAACGATTACACAAAAATGGCTCCGTTCTCTAGTCACTGTGTTCGCTACCTTTGAAAACGTCTGTTAGTGTTCTGCATGCTTTTGACAGGCAGGACACACATAAGAGGTACCCGCCAAGAGGCCCGTCGCGCGGCAAGAAGGCAGAGTCAGCGGACGAGTCGCAGCGCGATGTAGGACGTACAATGGTACATTCTATTTAACTTGACGCGAAATCACTACAGTACGCGCTGCGACTCGTCCGCTGACTCTGCCTTCTTGTCGCGCGACGGGCCTCCTGTCGGGTACCCGAACTGAGCAGACACGAAACGTACTGTTAGACATGGTGAGTTTGTGTTGCTCATGATAGAAACGATCGTTGATGTGTGAACTTTCCGCCTTGCCTGCCTTCTCTGAAAATTGAACTATTTGATACCAGAAGCATGTAGGGAAAGTAAAGCAAACCCACCCTCCGGAGCTCTAGTCCATACTGTAATATCCTGTCAACCGAGAAGAAAACATAGAGTGCACCAACGACGATCGCTGACTTCGAGTGGTAATTGAAGTCGCTGAGTTGGGTAAGGTGAAAGGCCTGGTAAAAAAAACATTGATCATGACTTATCAATGGTGAGATTCTTCATTCCTGTTCCTACTGTTAGATGATGTTGAAGAAAGCCAGTGAAAGCAACCACCGCCCCCCCACACTCCTGCACGACATATGGTGGTTTGACTGTCCGCTCTTCGCGATACTGTTGAAACTCTTCATTTTAACCAGCAACTCAGAACCGTGAAAGTAGAATGTACGAAAATCATCACTGACGACACATACTTCGATAGTCCATTCAATAATAAAGGAATCTCTTCCGAAAATCATGATTCCTTCCCTCCTCATACCCTCTCAGATAAGAAAGGGTCCTGAGTACGAATTCTTCTGGCGCCTAATATACGAGAGGTGTCCCATGAGGCAACATTTTCTCCCGCGCGCGCCTCTCACTCATTAACATGAAATTCTGCTGCTCGAGACAAGCACGAACCCCCCCCAACCCCATTGGTAGTTGTCTGGTACTTGTTTCAACGTAGGGTTGACCCTGCTTGCGAACAGAGTGCCGACGAAAACGGGGGGTTTGTATTCGCAAGGTTGGAGGCAGCGTCAATCCTACCCCAACTGGTCGTAGTGTGACGCTTTACGCGTGGGAGTGGCTAGGAATCCACCCCTTCTCCCCCCTCCCTGCTAGACGGCTATTTAGGAGGAGATGTGAGTGAAGTAAGTCCGTGTCAAGTGGTCCCAAAATCAAATATTACAGTAACAGCTCTGATGGTGAGGGGGTGTCGTTATTGGTGGACGTCCTTCTGAGTCTCATGGTGGAGGGAGCACGTGAAAATCGTCAAAAGTACCGAGTTGTAGGGTTGACCCTGGGGGTCGTATTCGCGGCCTTCAGCCAGGGGGGAGCGTAAATTACCTGGAATTTGTCCACGTGGCGATCTCTGCTTGCAACATGCGGCGCCCCCAAATGAGCTCTGACCTAACTTTTCTCCACTTTTCTTTATGCTGCTTCGATAATGTGAGCATTGCAATGATTTGGCCGTCCTTTATCAGCCTCCCGCTCTTTTTCTTAACGACTACTTCTGCATAGAGAAGTAAGGTAGTCGCAAGTTGACTGCGTTCCACGCGCATTTGCCTAAGGAGGATACATTTAAGTCCTGATCGTCCGCCCTTTCGCCGACCAGCCAAGCTTTCCACTCCTCCTGGGTAACACTTGTCTGGGAGGAGAGAAGCACTGATTGGACATCGACTGGCCCTTATATCACTGTGTAGGCCGAGTTGAACTCTTTGTACAAATTACCCTTGACTATTTATTTATTTATTCATTTATTTTATTTATTTCTTTATTCACTAATTTACCTTAATACATGACTAGGCTCACTTTTTCCCCGAGCCCAGCAAAAAAAAGCGAAATGAAAAATAAAGGTAATGTGGAAAAAAATTCACCTGTGGAAGCATGATGAACATCGAAGAACCGCTGAGGGCTCCGATGCCCAGAGCGATGAGAAAGATCATTATTCTCTCGTAGAGCATCTTACTAAAGCATGGCAAAATAAGAATTCCTAATGGTGCGGAGAAGGAGCAAGCGGATATGATCAGCATCCCGAGGATCCATGCTGAAATTGAACACAATCAGCAGATTACGCTATTTGTAAGCTTTTCGATGCTGAGCAAGATCTTGACGAGATTTTCTTGCGTTCAAACAGAGCAAAATTGCTCCAGACGAAGTATACATATTAGGTACCAATTTTTTACTTGAAGCAACAACCAGTTTGAATACGTGGGTAACAGCGGTTGATTATGAAATTGTGGTACCGAACTGACTAACGATAAGATGAAAAAAGACCATAGCAACCGCCGCTGAATACACTAGTAAGTATTCCTTCTCTTCCCCTTCAACAGAGGGAGGGGCGCGTTCGGAAGAGTTGTCTGGAATTGAAGTTCAATGACGTCACCAAAACCGCTCCACCCTTCACTGCCTTTGAGGTAGTAGCTCCATATATCACTGCCCACTCCCCTCCTATTCTTGTTCGTTGGAAGTTTCAAGCTGATTGTGAGTAAATGATAGTACTTTGTCTTGAATACAACCTCACCTCCAGCAACATAGCCCTTCTTCACCGGTCGCGCTCGTCTTCTTTGTAGGGGAACCCCACGCCTTATCTGCAAGGTCATTCCCATTCGTCTGGTGTGTTTTGTGCTCAGAACTTATGAAGTTGTGTTCTTATCGCAAACAGGTGTGTGACTACTGGCTGTTCCATCGATACAATCGGATGAAGAATCAGTTTCCATAAATAGACTTTCAAATGACTATCTAGCCTCAGTCGCTTCCTTCGCCTGCTCCCTCGCAAACCCTTTCTTCACCTTTTCAGTCCCCGTCGACGTCATTGACAAAGTCCGCCATAGTCAAAGTGTGCGCCGGGTGTTCGGAACTTAAAACAACAGTTATCTTAAGATCAATAGATAGAAATCATTTCAGTGGCCAACGCACATACACATTCACTTCGAAGATAAGCATCTGCGAAACAGCCAATAAATTACGTCAACAAAAAGAAGCGCGACTCATCAAGCAAATCGGCAACGGCCGCCAGAGCACGATCATTCACAGAGTGCGCGAAAGCAGGACTAGCGCCACCTTACCACAGAATTTATAGATTGTGGCGGTCATGTTAATGTGACTATTCAGGAATAATAATATGTGACAGCTCCGAAACGTATCGTTGAAA